AAAAAAAAAAATTGACCAAGCCTATCCAACATTGTAATGTATCAAAATTTCATTTTTTACTAATACCTTTATAAGGCGCAGTAAAAAATTCAAACATCCTATAAAATATATAAATTCTTGCCAGTTTCAAATTCGGCATGCACCTAACCATGTCCGTCCGTTCATTTGTTCATCTATCTGTATGCGCAACTCTGTAGTATTTATGATGAAAATTCTCGTGTTAACGAAAATGAATTTGCAAAAAAATTTGGAAGTGAGTTAAGCTACAACACCTACAACACTCACACAACTAGGAGACAGAAACTTTTATTTTGAGAATAGAAAAAATCAGCCGCGCCCACTCCATATTCTAGAGCATGAAAATGTAGTTCTTTCAGTTCTTTCTTTAGTTTCTTTCTTTAGTTCTTTCTTTCCTTGTCTTTTGTAGTATAATGGTGATGGATATAATAGGTGTTGGCTCACGACCGAATACAATTATGTAGCGTGTTTATATGTGTATTGGTGATATAGCTGTTATTTGTTGGTGTTTCGACGCTATGAAGCCTGTTAGAAACAGGAAATGAAACATTGCTTGGAAGTGCCTTTTTAGTAAAGTTCTTCCTTTATTTTTCCCCTTTCTTTACACCGTTTATTTGAAAAGCATAGAAGTTTAACTCAAGCATTTAAAGTTTTTTCTTGTAGTAGAGTTACCAGACATAATCACTTTGCCGACTATGGCGTCCCAGATCCTTTCACTCTCTCTCTCTCTCTCTCTCTCTCTCTCTCTCTCTCTCTCTCTCTCTCTCTCTCTCTCTCTCTCTCTCTCTCACTCTCACTCTCTCTCTCTCTCTCTCTCTCTCTCTCTCTCTCTCTCTCTCTTTCTTTCTTTCTTTCTTTCTTTCTTTCTTTCTCTATAGCTCTCTCTCTCTCTTTCTCTTTCTCTTTCTCTCTCTCTCTCTCTCTCTCTCTTTGTACCTGCGAAACCTTGCTGGAACTAGTGTGTGAGGCCTGACGGATGGGTGCGGACTTTCACGGCGAGCACTCGTGATGGTTGTAGTTATCGCCAAGGCGGGACATTGGACATGCAAACTAGCCTCATATCTCGTATTCCAGTCTTGGAATAGCCACTCCCACTTGCCCGATTGTCTTTGCAAGCTGGGGGTGCTGGAAATCGCTCGAGAATTTCCCGCTAAGCCAACAGGCTTCATCTGATTAGGCAGTGCAAGCTACTGCAGACGTGAAAACATGGAGACATCTGTCCAAAGAAATGAAAATATTGACTGCTACTGATATCTCTTCACAGCTGTAAACCAGCAGAACAACAGAGCGATACTTTTACAAAACTTATGCGCACAGCAGAGAGTAGTTTATTATGAGCAAGACCAATCCTTTGAACTTAAAATTATGAAATGTTTAACTGAAATAAATCCCAGCACGTTATCATAAATTTGTTTTCCTTTAAATGGAATTTCATCATTTGGAAAATGTATTAACCCATTAATATATAACATGTTTGACTTATTTTTCGGTATTCAGGTTACGTCAGTAATTTTTATATCGTTGCTCTAAAAATTTCTTAAATAACCGACTTTTGAATTTATAAAAGTATACCAAACAGCATGACGATACGTGCAAAGCAACATTGACTGACCGACGTAAGCCAGACAATCAAACAAACGAGCAAAAAAACGTCTTGTTTTGATAATTTTTTTTTGGCCAGATAAGGTCATTTTGTAAGCACTCGAAATTGTGTTACAATTTCCCATCGAACGCAATTGAAAACAGTTTAAAAATTTCAATTTTAAAACCATAAAGGATTTGCTAATATATTTCGCTCTTGCACTAACAGCACGTTTGCATGGTTGTTGTGCGGCTTTGCAAGTCATATGAATTCGTGTATATAACTTACAGTTCACAGAGAAAGAAATTTAGAATGCATAATGCGTCGCAATGTGTGGAAAGTGTGTACGCGTGGATGTGTGAGTATGTGCGCGTCTCACCTATAATGCTTACCGCATGCACGCCGGAGATAGAGAGTAAACCATGCAAACTATTCATGTTTGATTATGTACCCACCAAAGACGCTACAATAAATTTATAAGACGTTGGTGTAGGCATCGCAAATCCCACACTCGTTATACAGATCGTAAAAAATGAATGCTTAGCAAATCCTAAGGAAACCTGAAATCTGCTTCTACATATAAGCATTACGGGAAATGAAAGTACAAAATAAGGTCAGTTTACAACATTCGATTAAACCAATCATCCAAAAGTTTTCACACACACAAACAAAATTATACCCACGAAAAGAAAACAACTTGTACCGCCGTACTTTTTTTCCAACAACCAAGGTCACATGATACTTTTCAATAGTCAGTCCGTTACAATATGCCAGTCATTTTTCGAAGCAAGTGATTTACCGAAACTGTTGCGCATGTTATGCCATTCTCTACAACTGCATCTATTTTTCGTATAACGCTTAGTTGACTTTGCCCCATAGTGTTCGCTAAGGATTTAATCGCTAACGAAGCCATTAAACCCAAGTTTTTCAATATGAATTGAGAATCAAGCAAGAAGTTTTTAAGTAAACTGAAGCTTTCACGCATCTTTCATAATCCGTGAGCAAAGCACCCGCAAAGAAGCTCCATGCTCCATGCGAATTAATCACATGCGTTCAGGAAGGTAGTTGAGGCGATGAACACATCTTTTACGGTATAAAGTGAAGAGCTAGGGGGGATGGTGTCCTATTCACGTAACATGGTAGCGATCAGTAAAAAGTGACGAAATAGAAAAAGACTGGGAAAAGGGGTGACCGTACCCTAGTAGATGTACAGCCAATCGGTAACTAAGGATTCAGTACAGCTACGAAAATAACCGAAATTAACTCTAACATACTGACATTTAAACCCGTGAGCACAGACCTGGTAATCGCGATTGTTACCTATTCATACTTACAACGAAATAAATTTGCCTATGGTTTTATATATCGTATATAAATTTATTGACGATATTTGCTTTTCTTACATTATGCTTCATGGAATGTAACGTGGAAAATATAGGCGAAGGAATTAAAAGTCGAAAAATCGGATCGTACTAAAAGGGAATAACATAATTGAATTCACATATGATGGGTACCCATTGTTTTCCACATGTGAGCTTATATAATAATATATATGTTAGATCAAGTTATTAAAATTTCGACTTGAACTGAATCCTAATATCTTTCTGATCGACGTTTATTTTTAGATATGAAAAATTTCCTTAAATGTGGCAACATTGTCGCTTAATATAATATTTATTTACTCTTTTTTTTTTTTAATTTATTAAATAATTTTTACAAATTAGTTAAACGCACACATGTACGTACAGTTTTGGCAGAGAAAGTACACTCAAGTTGAGTTGTCTCTATTTTTGTATATATATTTTTATATTTTTTTTATTTATGTTACTTTATACCGCACGTTATTTTAATTGATGTGGTCAATACAAAAATGGCAATAGATTTCATTATATAATAACGATAATAATAATAATAGTAATGGAACAAGCTTTTTAAGAGCATTTTTCAAATTCCTTGAATGAATACAAATACTACCTGGCGTCTCAGATGAGTACATCAACAATTCTGCAGAAATGTGTTAGCAAAATTTCTTTCTATATTTCAATAAAAATCGCAAATTAATATAATTCGCCTAAAGCAGTCCATCAATTTTCCATATCGTTTAAATGCTAAATTTCTTGAACGCTCAGACGTTACAAAATGTAAGTACAGTTTCTCTTTGCACAGATTCAATTTGTGTTCAAAAATTCGATTGCTTGTCGCATCGCATCTAGAGTAATTATGGAAATATTGAATAATTAAGAAAATTTAAAGTAATTTCATATCGATCACAATGCGTCTGTTACCATTTAATTGATGGCTGCCGTTATTTTAAAATATGGAATGCAATCTATTTACATTCGAGATGTTTTCGATGAAATTGCATAAAGATTGAACTATAGTTCACTAAAATCTAGATAACCTTTTTTGTAATGAAAGTTCAACAATACAGTTGAAAATGTTAATTTGTTGTATTCCTATAGCGGCAAGTTTTTAGAGAGAGTGTAAGAACAAATAAAATTTTAAAAAAATGCATCAACTCTTTTATAGACGCTGTCTGGTGGCTGCTCTGATCCTAAAGGGAAAGAAAGACCACAGCATTTGGTCACTAATCAAAGATAGTTCGTCTTGCAACTTATTTAACACATTAAAAATTTTAAGAGCTCTTTGGACCACGATCCCATCTTCCTTAACATCATTAATTCTATCATTCGTTCACTTCAGCAATTTCCATAAAAAAACAAAAGCATTCAACATCGCAGCTATGCTTTCCTCGACATAGCCCAAATAACGTCAGCACGTTAGAAATTGTTACTAGAAATATAATTAAAAGCCAAAAAAGGTATTAAAATATGTTGTCGGAATTTTAATTTGCCGTGAAACTTTAATACAAGAGAGACGACCAAAGAGACAGCAGATAATGGATACGTGAGGAACGAGTAGTTGAGTAGTTGAGGAGAAGTGTTGCCAGAAAGTCGATGTATTTGGGCAAACTGAGCATAAGTCGATAAGTAGCTGTCGAATATTTTATTATGCTGACTGAATACCTTCAGCATTGCAAAACCTTCCACAACTGAGAGTGGTGACCAATCAAAGCGTTTCTCAGTTATTTTAAATGCAAGAAAAAAGAAGCGGGCAAATGTGCATAATATCCGCTTTATAAATAAGCCAAAAAGCGAGGAAATCCATTTCATTATTCAGCAAACAACTGGCGAGTTGACACTGATTACATAATCGAACGTTATTAAAAAGTTGCTAGTGACGACGTGATCTTCAAAGTGAAAATGAAAGTTTTTACCTTGACTTTGGTCGCTATACTTTTAATAGTATGGTGTTGTGGTGCAGTAACATCGACTGCTTTAAAAGTAAAGAAGAATGATAAACCAGCTTCTAAGGAAGTGAAATCGCAAGAAAGGGAATCTAAGGCGAAAACTCTTAAGAAAGCTTCAGAAACGGAAAAAAAAGAAGTTCGCAAACGTGGTATTTTACACTACGGTGCTCTGATGGGACCAACAGGTCTATTACCTCGAGGCTATGCTGGTCATTATGGATATGGCTGGGATTTACCGACTGCATTGCCATCTTCCTTGATCGCCAGTCACGCTCATGCTCCAGCATTACTTAAGTACAGTAATGGTTTTCAATACAGGGCTTTAGGTGGACCAAATTTAGTTTCCGCAGTATTGCCAGCGAGTCTCACTACTGGCGTTTCCCATATTCATCCTGCTCCACTAGCGCCTGCGCCTTTTATTCTACGTCCTGGAAATGCTGTTGTGCAATCATTTAATGTAAATTATGCCCAACGCAGACCTGGCGTGACAGTACCGACTGGCCGACCATTGCATACATTTGCTTCTGCCGCGACATCATTACATCACATACATCCAGTGAATACACTACAAACTGTCCCATCATTACAACCTGCACATACAATCCAGGCAATTCAACCGATAGCACCTGTCCCACCGGTGCCTGCAGTGCAAACAGTGCCTACAGTACATACTGTGCCTGCGGTTCACACTGTGCCTGCCGTACATACTGTGCCTGCGGTTCACACTGTGCCTGCTGTACATACTGTGCCTGCGGTTCACACTGTGCCCGCAGTACACACTGTGCCTTCAGTGCAACCTCTACATACATTCCAAACAGGCTTAGCGGCACGGCCAGGACATCATCTGCACCCTGAGCATGCAGTCTCCTCGATACATCCCGTGCACACAATACAAACCGTTCAACCTGGGCAGCATTCGCCAAACGTCGTACAGATACAACATCTGCAGCCTCCATCAGTGCACTGCACTGACACAGGCACTTACCAACATTTTCCTGATTTCTTCCAGACTTCCTTTGTTCCACCCGTCGCTGTGCCAGAAGGTCCCGCAGTTCATATACAACCCACTTCTCCTTCCTTACCACCAATCCCAGCCTTTCCAGCCCCTCCTTCGTTTCCCAGCATACCCGCTGTGCCTGCAATACCTTCCATACCGACAATTCCCACAATACCGTCCGCACCAGCTATACCTTCTATACCGAGCATACCGAGTATTCCATCTGTGCCGACTATACCACAACCTCAAATACCGCCGAGTGTTTTTTTTCCGGCTCAAGTGCATCCTCCTGTACCTCAACAACCACCCACATTTGTCGGTGTAGCAGGCGGATTAGTGCCTGTGGCCGCTAAGCCCGACATTGGCAGTGCAGAAGCCTCACCGCAAATACCATCTAGGCCCGCAGTACGTCCGTCTCAGTTTCCTGAACCCAGCCACACGCCTGAATTACCCCGTCCTACTCAAGAACCTTGGCGGCCTATAGTACACGAATGGGCCACTTCTGTGCAACCAACCCGCCGACCTTCTATTACCTTACTACCTCCGTATGGAAGTACCGCAGGAGAAGGTTAGTTTTATAATCGTAAACTACAAAATCTTTATTTATTTTTTTTTGCCCTCCTATATAGCCTACTTACCACCTGAACCATCAGGTAATCAGAAACTGCAACACGAATTTGGCGTCGGTACCAATCTATTCGATAACCTTAGCGACAGTGAAATCGAGCATATATTCACGCAAGCCCATCTGGCAGCTCAACAAGATCATAATCGACACCATCAACACCAACACACTATTCACAACTATCATACGAATTAGTTATGGATTTCGAATGGTAAATATATTTTAGCGTTTTTTCAACGTTCTAGTTAAAATTATTTGTATTCTATTTTTAAGTTTTAATGTATTTATTTTTATAAAAAAGAAAAAAAACAAAACATTTCTGTGTTATATTTTTGTTTTGAGACTTAGATAATATTAATATAGAAATGCAAAAAACAAAAACAAAAAAAAAAAAAACTATCAACATTATTATACCTTTTACGTTTTGATGGAAGCAATGTTTTCACAATATCCAGTTAAGGCGAATCTTCAAGTCCAGGTACGAATTCGTAAAAGACATTTTTGCACTTAAATGAAGAACCAACCCTAACTGATAGTTATGATGAAAACAAAGTTTAGAAACGTAAATATAGAATGTTATTCACGACTAATTAAATTGTAATATGTAAAAAAAAAAAAAACAACCAGTCCGTAGACTTAAATATAAAGAAACTCCAAATTTTAGATACTTAAAGATTTTTGATATATTTATTTTCCTTAATTAATTTCTCGTCCGAATCTTTAATCATAAGCTTTTCTGACCACACCCAAGCCCGAAATTCCAAAGAAAAATAATCATCAATTCTTGATATATACAAATCTGAAAGTTGATGGTGGGCCATTGCTAAACTATGTGCAAATACATGTAAATCTTATTAATATAGAATAACTCGTTTATTGAAATTATTTCACTAAATCAATGATTTCATTAGCAGAAGAGTCGCGACGAAATACCTTAGATAAGAAATACTGCAATCATTGATGACTGAGATGAAAATCGAATAAGTCGTCTATCGATCGCGTTGTCAATAAGTATATCTTATGTTATTTCTTTGGGTAAATAGACTGTCGCGTCACTTTTTCCACCTGAAAAGAAGACGCAGTATGCTATAATGTCTGACGCAATGAATGGCATTGTCCAATTGTCCATTGGCCAATATTGATTTTGTAATTCACTCTTGTTTCATTGCTGATGATCACATCAACCAAACGACATGTGTGTATACATAACCCTTTAACAAAGCAGTGGCTATCGTCCTCCCGTTACATTCCAACTCAAGGTAAATAAAGCTTGGTTAAATGTGTTGTGCTTCCACTTACATCGTATGGAGCAAACATATAACAGAAAACTTGACTATATGTGAAGAAGTAAACAAATTAGACTCTGACCTTAGATCGCTTCCATCGAGTTCGTCAGATATGGACGTACGATGAAATGAATTCTTCCCGGCCGCAAACATTTAAGATCGTTAAGACTATATGCCATTAACATTGTAAAGCCATATAACTTGCTGCCGTCTCGCTGTCAAAGCCATTGTTCATACAAGTGAGTTCAGCATTGTTTTTATGGTTTTCTCTATAATCCTGAAAGTGATTAGTTATTATGCACTCTTTGTTTAATTATTTCAATCTGCAATTCATTAGAATTACTCTACTTTTACTTTTGTTATAATACTTTTGTACCGGAAGAGACTTTATTGTCTTATTGGTACAAAACTTTTCTTTAATTGAATTTTACTAATGAAGTGATAATTAATTATTGATTAATAAACTTAAGCTTCACCTCAGCTCATAACAATTTGAAAATATTATGTCCATATGTTTTAATAATACAAGTGCCCCTAATTATCTTGTCAAAGCTATGCGCGCTTAATGTTTTGAATATGTCCCACCTCATCAACTTAAGCTTCCCAGAATCAAGATCAATAGTCTAGGATCGACCGAGCTCAATAGATTCAAAAAATTTCTTTAGATGATGTCTCTGTACATAAAAAGCAAAGTTCGTAACTCAAGGCTATAGCTTTCGTAGAGCTATTGGCTTTCGAAATTGCTCTTTTAATCTTGAAAAGTTTTGATACTTCCGACAGTTTGACATGTAGGTATACGTTAATCGTTTTTGAAAATATAAGCGGACGATTTTAATGCCGACATTTAATGTTTGATCTACGGGTAATTTCGTCGTCGTCGACAAAATACGCATATATGTAGCGAAAATGACGTCTATTTACCATTAAAAAATTTCGAAATGATCCGACAGTCAAGCACGTTAAAAAGTTACGGGAAAACAAAGCCGATCGTTAAATATTCTATACACTCCCCGCCACAAACAAGTAAGAATATTATATAGTCGAACAAGGCCGACAATTATATACCCTATACCATTTCACCTAGTGCAGCCACTCACTCATTTTAATAATAATCTATCAAATTTACACATTATTTTGATGCAATAGCATACTTTTCATGAAAGTCCGCATATTTAACGACGCCCAAAACATCACATGATGTCATCCGAATTTAGCAAAATTACTTAATTTTTTTAAAAATTTTATCATTTTTCACTATCCGTCTAACTAAAAAACTAGAAAGCAGACTTGCTCCACATATAAGGACTTGCTTGCCTTTATTTGTTGGGGCCTAAAAAATATATAGCTATATGGTCCACATTTTTTACAGTTGATATTTTTACTAAATTGCTATTGTGGACCAACTGAACTTTTTTGTCAATTTACTATTGTGAACCAATTTTCAAATGTAGAGAATTATATATTCTCCACCATATAAGGATTTAGTTTTCGTAGGAACAGTTAGGTGCGAAGGGATTCAAAAAATTACCCCAACCGAAACAGACTTTTCATATTAATTTAGAATGTTGAAATGCTTTTGCTCGACGAGCTTTATCGAAAAATTTGAAAAATTGTAATTGTAAATAAGTGGTAGAAAAGATGGACGGTATAGTTTTGCAAAAAGAGATCAGCAGTAATCGTCCTTTTGCATGACAACGCTCGACCGCATGTCGCAAAAATTGTTACGGATACAGTGTATGCTCTCGAATGGGAAATTCAGATATATCGCCTTGTGATTACCGGCTGATCAAATTGATGAAGCATGACTTGGCTTGGCCGCAGTTTCGAATCGCTCTTTCGTCACATTGAGAGAAAGATCAAAAGAAGCTATAAAAAATGATGGGAAGTATTGTAATTAATATATGTTGTAGCAATTTTTCGCAATAAATGTCTTTTTCAAATGAAAAAATGATTAAAACACATGCAAGCATCTAAAAATTAATATTTTTTATTTTTACGACCGTAAAACATGTAAACGCACGAACGACATTAGCCCCATCAACTGGTCGTATGAGTATTTCAGCGCATATAGTGCAATGCTTAAAATTTATCATTTCAATCCTGTTGTATGATTGCTGATAGTATTAATATAAAAATCGCTATTTTTAATTTGCGAAAAACCAACAAGCAGGTAACTCTAATTCATTTCTCTCGCTTTCTCTCTCACGCTCTCTTCGGCATTCTCTGTCTCTCATTATCGTATCCACTCACTCTTTTAGCATAAAAGAGACCAAGCTATAATAAATTGTTTACTCTATATATATATATATATATATATATATATATATGCAGATAATGCAGATGGTAAGGTAATAATGTTTTCAGGCCGGTTTCCAAATAACATTAAAAAATATGTAAATAATTTCCTTTATGCTTTCTCACTTTTATATTTAAGAAGTACACTCTGTTTTGTATCGTTACTGAAAGATTAATGTTCACGTTTCATATATTAACCATAACAGTAACAATAATGTCCACATACTTATCTTGGGACTTGATTTTTTACTATACATATGCGATTAATATACGAGATATATAGAATATATTTTCTCTCTACCTTAAATGCATTATTTCTAAAACGTTTATTAAGTATCTATTCAATGCGTTTACATAAGAGATTCTTTAAAAGAGAATTATTCATGATTCGATTGATTTATTACGACATTTTTGAACTCATGTTCGACTTGTGCTCTTTTCTGTGGTTTTTTTTTTTTTTTTTGTTTTTTTATTCACCCTCTAAGAATATGAGTAGATTAGCTCTTTATTCCGTTTGTAACGTTAATAGATGTATACGCGTCAAATATCGTATAAAACATATATATATATATATACCTTTTTTGATTAAGATTAATTTGTCTAATCGTTTGTTACTAAAGCTATTATCAATGCTACCGATTTAATATTTGGCAGAAATATTGTCTACAAGCGCTTTCTTATTAAAACCTCGACTAATATCATTGGTAATTGGTGTTCAGATTCCTGCTTTGCTTATTTCTGATTACATCCAGATAATTTTTTTTTTTTCTTTTCATAATATAACCGACCAATCACTAAGGGAATGTCATCTATTCGTAGAATACGGATTCGGTAGTCGCGATTCATACTTACTACTCGGCTACTCATGCGGATAATTAAGGCATTAATCGGCTTCGAACGGTAAATTATGCTTTCTTTATAGAATATTGATTGATGGCGAACAAGATGCTTTCTTGATAAGAAAATTATGTGATACGCAAGCGTCGGGACGTCTTCAACTAACAATGGGGTTGTGAACATTTGAATAGGGCGATTGAAATCTCCTTCTTCTTCTGCGAAGACTTGATCATTTCATATGTATCTGCCGGTAATATGTGTGGCAAAAATATGTAAAAACTATACATTTTCGATTAAAAGTTGAAAAAATTGAATCGTAATCCAAAGTTGATTTGATTAAGATAAAACACGAAAGGAAGTTACAATTTTTTTTTTTTTTTGTTTTTTTTTGTTTTTTTATTCTCGCTTGTTTTTATTTCGGTTGCTTTGTTCTTTTTACAATAATGTGTTTAATATGAAAATTATTGCTTTTAATTGTTGTTCATTCGTCATTCCCGGTTTCATCCCGTCGTACATTTTACTTAAAGATTAAATAAATATTACTTGACTGCTTGAGTGTTAATGAATATCTTTACAAACAGACTTAAATACTATAAAATATTTGTCTTTTTTCTTTTTTTTTTTTTTCTTTTTTTTTAACTAAACTAAAATCATATTTTTTTTTTTTAAACTTAGGCTTAAACTTTAAACTCAAGGTTACGCTGATACAGTTTGAATAGATATTTTAGTAATAGAATGAGCGAGTGGTAGCTTATAACAAATAGTTGTTTATTGCATACATAGGCATACAAACACGCAAGCACGCAAACACACACACATACATACATACATACATACATACATACATCCATCCATCCATCCATACATACATACACACGTAGATAGATACACACGTACGCACTTAAATACATACATGTGTAAATAATCTCTTTCAATTTCTCATTTAATTTCATTTTGTATGAGCCGATTAAACCAATTTTAATAAAATATAATGTATACAAAAAATAAAAAAAAATAAAAAGCATGTAAAAGATAATTGAGGTAAAATACAATAATAGTTTTTAAAAACTTTTCTCCTAAATGCGAGGGTGCGCATGTAATTTGGAAAGTCAAACTTGTGCGAATGTTTTTGTATAAGAATTATTGAAAATATAACAGTTACTTTCATAGCATATAGACTTACGTATATATATATAAACTTATTGCACTATGCAAATTGTGTGGATCCCAATATGTTCCTCTTTTCTCTCTTCCCTACTCTGTTTGGGGGCTTTGTGCAGCCACCGATTTCCGATTTATTTTATCAAAACCTTTTCTCTTATTTTCTACTGAACTGAACGAAAATATAAAAAAAAAAAAAAAAAAAAAAAAAAAAAACATATTAAACAAGTGAAAATTTACTAATATTATTTTGGGATTATCATTCTATGCGTTCGGGTATGTGGGCAATTTTACTGTCTCAACTTTATCATTGACTTTGAACGAGGGGAAAAGACCAATTTGATTGGTACGCATATTTTTGCCTTTTGAAAATCCATTCCAATGATTGCCAGCTACGCCTACCATGTCCTCAATACGCATATGTATTTCATCATGATTCCGTGCTTCATGTGCTATAACCGCCTGACGATTGTGTGAGTTTTGACCGCCGTAATAGTATATATCATCCAGCGATTTAAAACGATGCGCAGCATCCGGATATAAAGTTTGCATTATCTCGTAGGCAATCCGACATACTTGCGAACTAAATGTGCACACCAGAAAATCGGAGAGTGACAATAAATGTATATCCAATACAATGCCGTATAGAGCATTATCCGTATAACGGGTTGAAACACCAGCCAATCTTGCTACCTCAGAGTCGCCAATTACCTCGTATTGTGGATACTTTTTTCGTGCCTCATCAATTACGCGAGCATCATCAGAAGCTAGAAATATGCGACGAGGTATCATTGTACCATTAGTCTCTAATGTTAAAAAGTAGTCTTCAACGTGCGTCATATATTCTTCGATACTGTGAAAAGCAGCCTCTGTGCCTACTTTATCAGTGCGTCGCACATGTATTCTAAAAATTAATAAAAACACTTTAGTAGAAAACAGATTCGTTTACAAGGAAAAAGGCCGAGGAAGAAAATTCGATCGATAAGCGGGTTATCTCTTTCTTGTATAGAATACCCCGCCTACATTTTATATTAATTATAACCATCAATATCGTTTATTCTGGTTTATATTTAACATTTTTAATGGATCGATAACTTACCCAACAATCGGCTTACTCCAGCCCAATTTTGTTGCCCCCGATACCAGGAAGTTTTTGATACTCTTTTGTGGACGTAGCAAATATTTCAGAAATTGTCCCACCCACCAGACTATCGGATCACCATGTAAGCGTCTAAGACGTGAAGCCAAATCCTCTGGTATAGACAGTGGTAAATAAGGTGGTCGCGGTACTAACGAGTCGATAATGGGCAAGACAAGCACTTGAGAGTCTGCGCGACCTGGCCAGCTGTTGGCATGCACGCCCTCGGCATCAACACATGAATCAGAAACAGGATGAAATACTTCTTCCCAACCACCTTTGTGGTAGCGCCAACCACGCGATTTTAATATGAGTGTTCGCTCGGTCGCATAAGCTACAATAAAACAATAAACTACATGATGTAACTGACAGCCGTAACCACAGCCTTTATTTAATTTGCAGACTAGCTTGCGGGCTTTCGAGCAATCGGCAGGATTTTGTAAATAGTGCAAGCGTCTCTGCACCAAGTCACTTAAATCTCTCGACTCTTGATGACGCCACTCTTCATAACCGTCCAGTTCGCGCATACGTTCCATATCGCTTAATAAGGAACGTTTATGTTCGGCTCCCAAAATTAAAATACTGTTAATCTCATGCTGCAATTCAGGGACAGCTCGCTCAACTTTTTTACGTATTTTACCCAATTCACTGCTAAAATAATTCCATAGTTCCCCAATGTTATTCTGAATGCGACGACGCATCAATTCATATTCCAAACTGGGCTCATTGCATATAACCGAATCATACGATCTCATCACACCGCCCATTGAAATTGGATTTCGCATGTTGTAGTCAAGTTTTTGTATTAATTTTTGAGCCGAATTATTGTCTATTTTTTCGCTAAAATGGGAATAATAAGCAAGTGTTTAATTATTTCAGTATTAAGACTAAAACAAAAAAAAAAAAAAAAAAAAAAAACAAACAAACAAACAAACCAACAAAAAACATAATTATCCGTAGATTACAAACTCTTAACAATTGTCATAAGAGCTTCCCATTCAGTTCAGTTTCTCCGTGATTCATCAGTCAGATAAAATGAATAGCGCCTGTCCCGGAAGTGGCATTACTTTGATTATGTGCCAGCTAACTAACGAAGCATTCATGCGATGCTATCTCAGCTTCTCACTCACTATTTATTCTGAACGAACTGCATTATTTGTGAATTCTGCGTGACAAACTTTTGCATATAAAAGATTATAAACGCATTGGCGCATATTTGTTTATCTGATATGTGCAATGGCATTCACTCAGGCACATAATAGGGTATGTGGCGAACTTAATGATTTCAAATAATACGAATCCTCTGAGATACGGCCACACAACAGTATGACATAACTCATTAAGTTGCAGAGAAATGCAAAAAACTAACAAAAGCTATGGACACATTGAACTTATTTACGTCAATTGTATTTGGTATTGCCACACTTGTTTCTCTGAACGCACCTGTTCCATCTAAGAGGAATGTATGACCGATTTTTAAGAGAATATTCATCGAATTGTGCGTTTGTTTTTTGGTGTGGTTTACGAAAAAGGTCGTAAGCGAAAGATGTATCCGAAATTTCGTAACGAAGATATATCCTTTCGAAAAAGCTCATCGCACGATTATTTGCTGATAATGGTATTTAATTGAAACGGATCGTCCACGGGCTGCGAATCAATTCAAAACCTTCTACATTCGAAATTTTCTTGCTTTTCCGTACGAATATATATTTCGTTTTTGTTGTTGTTGTTGTTGTTGCTCATTGCAGATACGTGAAATGAGAAGCAATGCAGCTGGAAGACAAAGCGTTAATTTATTGAATCGAACTGATCTATGCCCTTAATCAACGACAACTCATATAGAGTACTTAGCAATAGACTTCTAAGGTGCAGCAATTACAATCTCAACAGGTAACAATATTATATTCGGATGTGAACGAATCTACTATACCTTGGCCTTTATCTTATAACACAATGGGCAAATTATTATTGATGTTTATAAAAACGGGTAGTGAGTAAAAAAACTCAATATTTTTCTTTGGAAGAGCGAGGAGTTTTCAGCTTACTTTTACTCTGGGCAGGTGCGAATGTTTTTATCGAACCAATATCTCCACTTTTGCAACCAAGAGCATGTTTACTACAATCATTATATGATTGTACAGATATACATATGAACCAACGGCCATGATTAAGTCGCATTACAATTTAATATGTTGATTAAGAATATAAATGCTTTATCTGGTCTCTGCCGGTTAGTTCTGAGTTCCGCACAGATTGCAATAAAATAAATGTACTTCCATACTACAGTGATAGGTATAAAGCTATTACATTAAACTTCACGCTTACTATCAAAGCGCGAGCAACTTTTACTAAATATCACGTAATCAATTTAACTCGTCTATAAATCGTTTGACCCACTCCTCCTAAACATGAAAGAAAATGTGACTAACCTGACGAGTAACTTGCGCTGTAACTTCTAAACTAATGATCGCAATGTCTTGAAATTTTGATACATTTCGTTTGAAAATTGTTTCTATCTAAAAATCGTATGGATTCGTCGTTAATCCGCCCGCACCTATATGTTGTCTTACTAGCTTGTTGAGAGATGTCCAAATTACAAAACAAATAGTTAAAGTTATTAGCATTATATACGTTTGAAAATCAATTCTCATTAACCTTATTTTTAAATTAATAAAATATGATAGCTATTAGTCATTATAGGAAATATATATATATATATATATATATATATATATATATATATATATAGCTATTAGTCATTATAGGAAATATATATATATATATATATATATGTCTATATATATAATGAAATTCCAGGATGTTAAAAACGTCAATAGTTGAGAAATGATAAGGGGAAAAATATCCACCTGACTAGCCGAGTAGATAAGAATCGTAAGTAGAAAGTCAGCGCCCACCGCTTCAAAACTCAAATATGGTAGATTTTTCTTTAGCAGTAGTTTTAGTGAACGTCTTGTCGATAAAGGCATAACTTCATTCCTCCACTATCTCCCTATTTCTTTCTTTCTTTCTCTATCCTTACTTCTTTCTGGCAGTCACAGCATTATACGAATAGGCGACATCCCTTAAGTGATTGGTCATATTAAAAAAAAAAAAAAACAAAAAAAATATTTGATAGTAAGATATATATACGATATTTGAAATCAAATTTCACAAACATTTAAGGTATACATAATATACGTATGAATGTTAAAATATATAGCGCAATAACGGTACTTACAGAACAATATGCTCCTTTTAATAGTGCACTGTGTAAGTATATTTACTGTCTTACTTCTATGCAAGTTGTTTTTCTAATTAAAAAACAATTTATGCACCGATTGAATTGGCAGTGAGATCTTAGAAATAATTTCAAACGAAGTTCAATTCTCTAAGCAATTCTCTTTGAGCTCATAATCAAATAAAAAAGACAAAATCTCGCAGTGAACCCAACATGAAGAAATTGGTCAGAATAAATTTGAGACCAAAGTTTCAAAGTTGTCCTTTTTGAGAAGGCTTCGAAATTATAATGATGATTTCAAAAGATAGATATTTATACATGTCTAAATCGATTCATCACGCACATCCATTATTATATACTTCTACATGTCGCAAATTGTTGAAAAATTTAATATATCATACGCGATGGGTATAAATGTTTGCTTAAATAAAATATTCTTTCTTCAAATATCACATTTATTACTTAGTAAATACCTTAAGGGAAAAAAAATTGTTATTATAGATACCTCATTAAATTCTCAATCATTTGTTTAAGTTCCTCATTTCTCTGTCGGGTGGCCTCCAGCAATTGCAAAGCTTGATTGATCCGTTTTGTCGTAATACTTTGCTCTTCATTTTGTGCGGAGTTGTTATTATCAGGCTTTGAAAATATTAGGAAAGTTGAAGCTAAACAAAAGCAAATAACAAGAGCTCTTAACCACGCGCTGGAAGATGAACTACCAAAAAATCGTCGCAAAAAAGACATTTGTTTTACATACGCGCACCCGCTAACAGGACTTGCTTAATATCATGTAAAAGGAAATTTTATTTATTATAAAATTATTTATCACAATTTGCATGAAATGCAAAAATAAACACCACTGTAAAGTATCTGTCGATTGATTTATAGAACACAATTTATACAAGAAGTTAACTTTACACTTTACGAGCCGTATATAGTATGCAGTATTTGATTATTTCATAAAGTTTAGTTCTGCCTTTTATTTTATTAAATGTATTCTCATTAGATAATTTCGTATGACTTATAAACATTTCTATCGCGATAAATAAATAAAGTTTAACAAAAAATTTAATTTCGGATTAAACACTTATAACTAACAAAAATGAACTAAACAAAAAACGCCCCCAGATATTAACAACAGAGTTGCTAAGCCACGGAAAAACTCATGTGTAATAAAATCGCTCTTTCTCTTTACTAAATAAGCACTTAAAGCTAGCCCAATGAAAAAAGCACATAGCGGACCGGATTAGTAAATAAATTAAGAACTTTTATTTTTGATTTATAAACTGGGCAGTGTGCTTAATAGTATGTAAGATGAAAACCGCCATTTCAAGGTATCGCATCGAGTGATGAGAGCAGGCAACTCTAACTTGTATCCGTTCTCTTTGCTTTTCCTTTTTGTTTTTTAATGCTTAGCATAAATATTTCAAATAATTCGGAAAGTTTCAAATCCAAACTTATCTCTCACCTCATTTAAAATCTCTCTGCAATATGTATTCCACTAAATATTGCCGGTTTTTGGTTAAATAAACAAATCAAATATGAAACAATTTTGAATGTATTAGTGAATTTTTTCGTTTTTTTTTTTTTGTTCTACGAAATAAATAGATGGATTTTGCGTTATTATTTTAATGAAAGTAAAAAATCAATTTATTTAATTAATAATAATGATAACTAATTTATATTTAATAATTATATGAATTAATTAATTTGCCTAAGAATATAAATTAAGACTAGTGAAGGCTTCAACTTTCGTGAACGTAAATATATGATGAACACATCATTTAAACATATTTGCTTTTGGTGTGTATGCGCGTGTAGTTAAAACTTTTTAAAAAAACATTTACTAAAATAAACAAAAAATAATTGCGTAAGTATTTTTGCTAAGTTTGTAATATGTGTTATATACTAAAACAACAAACACCACACGCTTCGCTATAAAAAAAAAAAAAATATTAAAGTGAGAAGAATGGAGAGGTGAGATATTTCTCTTTTAATTTGGCGTCTTTCTTTTGTATATGACAACACTAAAAGAACTTGTAAATGGAACCGCATTATGTTTATTACAAGATGTATTAAAAGCATACTTGAACGTGCAGATGCATATTTTATAATTACAAGTAAATCTGTGATCATTTATGCCCTGTTTTTCTCCTTCCTTATATACATCTATAATTTATCTTTGGTTTTTTTTATTTTTTTTTTTTTAATTGTTTATTTATTTTAATTTACATCGCATATTAACACTGCATTTTTTTAGTCAATCTGGATATTATCTTTCAAAATTTGAAATTAGTTGATGTAAGAAAGTACCCGCTACTAATCATCCGCTAAACATTCTTAAACGAGCGTTATAAAACGTTTCACTGAAATACTCATTTCTACGTAAAGATGAATAACAAGCAAGCACTCAAAACATTGCCATTGTCAGCTGTGCGAGCGAAAAGTCCATACATTTTACTCGTAATTATTCCCAAAAAATACAGCATTTTTTTTTCAATGATTGCATTAAAATGCGACATTGACGCAGTTTTGCACGCAATACAGGACTAAATTAAAATTGCAAAAAAAAAACAAACAAACTTGACGTACAATTAAAAGTTATTACATAATCCAAGTTGAAAATGAAACCAGAGATAGTAACTGATGAACGTTAAAGGACTTTATTATTTTACAAAGCACCTGAATGGCCTTTAATGTAAGTCAATTTGAGAAAATATTTACACTTAAGTATGGAAGTTAGACTTGTTCATCAGACTTGAATTGTGCTCACGTTAAAATGGCTAAAATAAAATAATTTTTAACTGAGCATATGTGGAAGCATCACAGGTCAATGAATTAATATAAAGCTTTTTTCATTTCATTCACTATAATTTAATTTTTTTTTTTTTTTGTATTATTTGCTTAAATAAATTAATTATTTTCTATTTTAGACTCTGTAATATGACGACCGATGAAATATTACACCAAACAAATTGCAGACCCGCATGAGCTATCTTTATAAATTCGCCTGATACATCGCCCAGAGCGTTGATGAAAGAAATCATCGCACGGCTCTTGGACTCTACTCTCTGATGTAAATACGACTGGCGTATCGTTTACGTAGAATTTGATTGAAGAAGAACTTAATAATCGCATTTTAAGTTTTGATTCTAGACATTTTTCTTTACCATTAGATATATTTTCTTTTATTTTTTCATCACTCGCCGCAGCATAAAAATACGATTCCATACTTAAATATTCTTTTTTATTTCGTTTGCTTGAAGATTTCTTACTCGAAAATGCATCTTTCGCGTCTTTTCCTGCGAAATGAGGGAAAAACGAAAATCGATTTCATAACAAAATCCAAAAAATTCGTCTGAAACTTTAACTTTCTTGGTGGGAACATTGAAAGTTTCGGAATCACTGTCAACCTTATATCCACTCAAAGGCCAGCTTGATGAAGCTAGACTAACATATATATATATAAATATATATGTATATAAATATATATATATATAAATATATATATATATATATATTTTTTTTTTTTTTTTTTTCTGTTGAAAATGCTCTTAAGTGAACATAAATACTTCTCAAAGACATTGGTCAGTGTATTGGAAGAGCCACAAATCAAAAGGGGGGCATTAAGATTACAACTTTCCAACGGACAATCACAATCTCGTGAATTCAATCTCCACAACGACGATTTTTTTTGCTTTTTTGATTTTTTTGTCATTTATGCGATCTGTATGCTCGCATCGCAATTACCGCTACTTTTGTCCGTATTATAAAATAAATTTCAAATGCAAAATGTATTGAACTTGTTTGCTTTTTTGCGTCCATGGACCAAAAAAATTCGGTACAGCAAATTCCATTAAAATATCTTAAAAATTAAATTAAAAATCTACCTCAACTCCTTCTGGATGTTGTGTCCATTCATATAGATTTAATATAAACTTTGTACCACAACTGACGTAGAGCATAATAAATCTTGACGTCATTTCATAAAACACTCAGATCATCCTAAGTTTTGATTGCTCAGCTGTTTTATTATCCCATCTTCTCTTTATTTGATAAACAAATTTAGAAAACTTTACAAATAAAACCTACTAAATGGAGAACTAGGATTAAAAATTATTTGGACTTTAAAAGTTTGCTCGTCTCACTCTACCTATTCCTTACGAGAAGAGGATGAAAGAAACCTTTAATATTTTAAAGCGTGCAATTGCGGACAAAACAAATGATGATATGTTCTACTTTCACCGAGAGTGTTAACGAAGCAAAATATGAAAACCAAATGATTCGTACAGATCGCTTACTGTCCACACAATTCCTTTATAAATAAATTTTTTCAGAAATAGAAAAATACCGAATGAATCACGTCGATGTTTTGGAGAGCTTTAAAAAACCATTTCATATTTTACAAACCGTACTTAGATTGTCTCTTCTCGCTTGACATTTTAAAAATAATTATAAGAAAATATATTTCTGATAACGATTTCAGTAAGGTATTGCCAATAGGAAACAAATTATTGTAGCATTTTTTTCCAATTATTCATTGGCTTGTAAGCAGTAGATCGAGGTTATTTCCTTTTCCCGTTGAACGTCTTCGGAAAATCATTTCCATACATACATACTAATCTTTCCTATTTTACCCCACCGCCAATTTCTTAGCGAAAAGAGTGATGAAATAAGATAATAATATTTATTAATTTTGTCTCTGTTTTTTCAGACACGCAATATTGAAAGAAAGAAGAACAATAAGGGTGGCACAGTCACTTGAAATGAAACAATTTATTCGAAATTAATATGTGATGGCAAGATTCCACAAGTTTGCCGCCCAGTTCCCACAAATTCCACACAAGTTGACCGCCCAGATTCCACAAGTTAACCCCCTCTTTTTCAAGGTTCGTATCGTCGCTGAAGTTGTCTTTGCTATGTCACGATTCATTGCGAAATAAACAACAAACATGTAAAATAAGTATTAAAACTAAATGATATCAGCAAGAGTAAATCGTATATTTCTTCGCTATATGAATTCAAATTATTTCTATATATATTCTACACAGTCAGTTTGTTAAACTTGACTTATTGTACTTACTTGCTTTAACTTATATTTTAATAAATCAAGAATAATTTGTTTAGTTTATTGTTTTGCTTATTTCATTGTTTACTTTTTTCCTTTTTTTTTCAGTTAATTGCGTATATATTCTTATTCATACAAAAATAATGTCACAAATATTCCGTTGTACATGCATCGAATAAAAAAAAAAAGAAGCTTCTTTCGATTCGACAGCGGTCGACTTACCGAACGATACTCTCGAAAGCCTTTCGAGTCGAGTGCGCGCTCGATATTATTAACACCTATGTATGCATGGTGCACCTGATCGCAGCCAACGAAAGCATGTCAACGAAAGGCATGTTTTTTGGTTTGCGGTATGACCTATAAATGAGGATGCAAATTTTACCTTTAGTTACGATCACGAGCTCACGAGCCATGTCAGACACATAAAAACTTAGTCGTATAAATGCTCAATTCCGGAGAGAATGGCATTATTACCGCTAAACTTGTCCTCATCATCAACATTTACGTCACAACGCCATCTGTGCCATGTCATTATTGGAGCGTAGGAAATCATTAATGTTAAAGCGAAGTGTTTGACAAGCCGAACATTTTCCTTATCAAGCGAACGATTAGGATAACTATTCATTGATATTATCGCATATGAAGCTGCCGTACACGAGTGCTTGCACGTTTCGATTTCTAAGTTGCTTCTTCACCCTCTGATCTGTTTAAAAGTGCGACTTCGAACGGAATTTTTTCACATTAGACAAAAAGCTTGACGAGATTAATCGATCGTTTCAAAGCAGCTGACACATGTAACATTTCCTATATCTATCTGTCTTAGGGTTTCATATACAGACTCAACATTATGCTCTATTATTATTATTATTATTTATAATTATTATCGTATTTTTATCTGGTATACTCCTAGTTTTTCAAAGTTTTGTCTAATTGATGAATTTTTTCGCCTTCATCATATTACGTAATAAAATTATTAATAGTTTGATTCTTTGCAGTTTTTTCTTCTTTTTATTACTCTGAGTTATGTTAAACTTATTTATATATATATATATATATATATATATATATATAATATTTTTTATATATATGTGTAGTAATTGGAAAATAAAATACTAAAACGATTTCCTTAAATTAAATAATAAAAAAAAAAAAGAAAAAAAAAAGCGTTTGTTTACTTTCACTGCTAATGAGAATACAAAGTAATTTCGTTTTTTTTTTTATTGAAAAAATCAAAATAAAAAAAGATATAAGGTAAAAACTAAAATATTTTAAAAAATGTAAAAAAAATCATTTAAATTTTAATTAAAAGCTGGCTATTGTAACATGATTATAATTCTTTTAAATCAGAGTTTAATTTAAAAGAATCTTTCTGTTACAAAATTTTTATAAATTATTTATAAATATTTATAAACTAATGTAAAAAAAAATCATTATAATTCTACAACATAAGAAAATTGTTGGTTTTAAATTTGATTTTTGTTTTTTTTTTTTTTCTGTCGTTAAAAATGCAAATAGTTTTTGTTTTTAAATTTGATGTTTTTCTTTCTTTTTTTTTTTGTTATTGTTGCTTATTGCAGTGGAGGCTTTTGTGGCTGTGGTTTGTTGTTGTTGTTATTGTTGTATACATATCAAATTTAAAAAAAAACATTTTTTTTTTTTATCTTTATTTATCATTTTATAAATAAATGTTATCAACTCTAAATGAGAATTTTTTTTCTTTATTTTTGTTATTCTTCCTGTCAGCCGCTCTGGTGTAAAAATATTTATGTTCTATTTTAATTTTTTGTTCATCTTTAAGTTTAATTTTTCCATTTTCTTTGCTTTTGTTCTAATAAAATTATAAACTAATGTCACCATATATATATATATATGTATATATATATATATATATATATATACGAGGAAGAAGGTTCAAGAGTTAAACTAAATTAATATGATGGTTAAAGTCAGTGGGAGCTAAAGATATAACTTGCTTAAGGGTGTTTTGTTGTCAGTATATGTATGGATGTGTGTGCCTGTCTTAATTCGCTTCGATTTTTTAATTTATTTTTGCTTTCTCCTATACATAAAGAAATCATCTTTTCTTTCTTTGCTTTTAACGAGCAAAAATAAGTAAAAGAAGGGGAGAGATTGATTGAGTGAGTGAGAGATAGATAGGGAGAGTAAAGTTTTTTGTTTGTTTTCGCTTATTTTTTCAAACAAATCGCAAACTGTTCTGGTTTTAAATTTATTAACAGCAATGCAGTCTAAAAAACTAAGGTTCGAAGTAATTTTGCGGTTCATCGAAGAATCGTGGTGTCAAAGGGGCTCTCTCTGTCTTGTCACTTTTATGCATAAATTTTGACTTTATTTGTAAATAAATGTTATGTGTATGTATGTGATTGTGTAGTGAATGTTTTCTTTTTCGGTTTTTTTTTTTGTATTTTTTCGGTTTTTTTTTTTTTTTTTGTTTTAATAAACAAGAACCTTGTTTACATTTCTTAAGCCCTTTTTTCTGTTCTTCACCGTCCTTCTTAATCACCACGTAACTTTTTCATGTCTGGTTGTTTAGAGTCGTCCGATGAACTGTTAGCCAACTCATCGGAACAATTAACAGAACGCTTTTGACCCATCATACCGCTGCTTAACGTTGACTCTGTTGTATCCGTTGTAGCAGCGCTAGTTTCATTATGATTGATCAGTAATGGTGTTAGTGGTGTTGTCTGGGCACGACTATTACTGTTGTTGCTGCTTTCATCTTCATATTCTGATTCACGCAGGCAATGGCTGTTCTCGCCGTATATAGCAGCCGCTGCAGCGGTAACCGCCGACGCAGCTCCATTGCTGCTGGCGTTAGCCAATGCTGTGGTAGCAATACCCGAGCTGCTATTTGCCTCTTTACGCTTTGCATTATTATTGTGATGCTTGTTAAGTGTTGGTGGCTCCATATTGCTTTCAGAATCCGAGGCCAATGGAGTAACCGCCTCACCATCACCGTCATCAGTTGTGGTGGTAGCTGTAGTCTGTGTAGTATTTTCATCGATAATGGGCTCTTGTGATGTGGAATCATTCGATACGAAATTAGAATCGCCATCTTGTGGTGTAGGATTGGTATTCTCATTCTCAGTTTCCGATTCGGCGGCTAAATTATGCGGCTCCCGACGCCCTAAATAATAAAATATTAATTAATTAACTTGGAAATCATATTTCCGTACGTTCTTTTTTTTATGCAAAGTTTTTTTAAATGCAAAATCAAGCATTCGACTTTGAATGGGTTCAAAGCCCCTCATCAAAACTTTTCATAGAAAAATAAAATTCTCTTCATCAAAAAATTTGGCCAAACATTTTCGCAATTGATAAAATAATATTCTAAAATCAACTTTTGAAACTTATTCCCACTTTTCAAAATTAATTCAATTCGTTCCGAGCAGAACATTGTAGAGCTTACTTTTCATATATCTGAGATATCTGATCACTTTTACGAATCTATTACATCATATATTACACTGTTGTAGAATTCGAATAACATATGAATTTCAAATGTAGTTAAATAACCGACCGTAGAGTATAGAATTGCGATATAAAGTTCATATCGTGTATTACTAGAAGAAAGCAACAAAATGCAATTAATATACGATATTTGAAATGACGTTTCCGTAAAATTCGCAAGACATGCTTGCACATCATTGATGGTGACTTATTGATTGGTGATTTATCAATGTAACTTAAAAATGATATATAGCTACAGATTCCCGCCTTGAACCGATTTAGACAAATTGCAATTGCAACATTTTTATTAAGGACTATTGGAATAAAATTCGTGAAATAAGCAAAGATTGCCAGTCGCAATGTAAACAACAGAAAAAATTGGCTCGTATTTTTGTAATAGTTGTAAGCGTGTATATGGATTGATTTCGCTGCTCTTTAAGCTAAAAATATCCTCCGACTGTTTTAATAGTAAAATTTAGTTAAAATTAAGTTCCTCTTGAATGGAAGTTTTGAAAGCGTAACTATGCGCGTTGCGTAGACAAGTCTTCTATACATGCCGATCGCAAAAATTTATCCGTCACGTTACGTTACTTTGATAATTAACAAATATATAAGAAAAACTAATATAACCTGCACGGTGGCTAATAAAACGCATCTTGTGAGCAAGCGACTATAATTTCCAAAATAATTAGTTAAGTCAATTGTAAATATCGTCTCATTTTGCATATATATGTAGTACTCGCCGATTTGTTGTTCAATTTCAATTTATCGATAATGTTATTATTTACTGATTATTTATATATTTATATTTAAGCGATAAAAGTTCACTGCTCACCTGCTGCAATGTCATTGTCTCCATCATTGGTATCTTCACTGGCAGCATCATTGAGTACTTTGCCTACGTTACCGTTTGCCTTTGATAAACCACTACTAAGAACGACGACGCCGACACCGCCGCCGCCTCCCTTGCCAGTGGGCATTTGATCCAATAGATCTGGACTCAGGTCGTTGGCCACATAATGAGCCCACAAAGCTAACTCGACGCGATGCGGCGACCAAAGTGGTTTTTCGCCGCTAACTTGTGTATTTAAACGTTCCACCGTGGCCTGTATATGTTGTACAAAATTGAGGTATTCTTTTGTCGTGTAATCGATACCTTCGATTTCCGGTATAGCCATTAAACATTCATCGGCCATAAACGGTGCCGAATCGGGGCTGGCAGCGGCCAGCAAAGCCGAAGCCATTGTAGTGCCAACACCCTTCAAATTAGACAATGCCGTAATGGCTTGCTCCAAGTTGGGTAATTTACGAAATGCTTTTTTAGTTTCCTGAATAACGGCCCGTGGTGTATTCACTTTGACCAGATACGATAATTGTGGATAAAATTTACCACGTGCCTGCTTCCATTTCATAGTCTGCACCAATTCATCGTATACGATGTGAGCATCTTTCCCTCGTCCTTTTATTAATTTGGGTAATTCATTTTGATACCATTGATCGAGACGTATCAGTTCCTGCGGTTTTTTGTTACGTTTCTCAGCCTTCAATTTTAAAACTTGTGGATAAAGTTTATAACAAAAATCAAACTGTTCGGTTGTACCGTTCTCAAAGAACGAGGCGGTATCCTTGCCGGCGTTGGTCATTTCAATTGTCGATTATTTATATGTATGTTTGGATTTTAAAAAATTCTTTTTAAAATTTGCAAAATATATGTAAAGTTTGACAGATGTTTACTGCTGCTACTTCTGCTACAGTTTGTTGGTAGTTCTACTTTTCTTTACTTTTTGGTAATGGCGGCTCGACGCACAAAACGTAGCCCGTGTTTTAGTTTTAATATTGAACAGAGACGTCAACGTCTTGCTCTTTATTTCTGCTATAGTGGTTATAATGCTTTGCTGCTATGTATTACTATGGTGGTTGGTTAGCTGCAATGGTCGTTGTCAGTGTTTTTGTCGTTTTTTTTTTTTTTTTTGCTTCTTATGTATTTGGCCTGTATGGCTACAGGCAGCTGTCTTCAATGTGGTGAATATCAAGCAACGTGGTGAAAGTGACTTCGGCTACTGCGTCAAACCGCGGCTTTACAAACACCACCACCACCAAATGGTAAAACATTTAGTGTATGGAATAAAATATTTCCTTAGGCAATAAATCCTTGCCAGCCACCTTTATACAAATGGCCAATTCGCCAATATACACACTTTGGAAACGTCTTATAGATTTCACATACAGACAAGCACAAGAAAGAAAACCTTCACAAATACACAGTATAGCATCAAAAGTAAAAAAGAAAAAAAATTATTTATATATATATATATATATATATATATATATATACGTTATATATTTATATATATGTATACTTATATATATTTATTTATATATATGTTACATATGCACACACACATATATATATATATTTATATAGATATATATGTATATATAAAAGATATAATTTTAATATAAAACGTTTTCATATTTTTATTATTTTTTTTTTATTTTACAATTATTCACTTCACGTTACCTGTTTTTCCAGAATTGTTTTAAATTTTTCTTAATAAATTATCTATATTTTAAAAAAATTTGGTTTATATTAATTTTTCGTTTCACTGCTTCATTTAAATTCCCATGTGTGTGTGACAAAAAAACGTTGCCAGTCAATAATATGAAAAAAAGAATTTTTCCTCTCCTTTTTCGTTGATTTTCAATTCGTGCGATGCACAGCGCACACAGAGAAATTTTATTTTGTCGTCAGTGTTCAGTGTTGGCTATCGTTTGTCGGGTAATCGGTTAATTCGTTTGCTATGCTTGACTGTTTCTTCTTCTTCTTCGTTTTTTTAAATTATTTTGTTTTCTTTTTTTCTAGATACTTTGCCTACCGCTTACCCGTCAGCTTTCACAAGCTAGCATACGCCACACATTTAACTAACCACTCTTACATATACAAGCTCGTTAATACTTCTTATATAGATATATTTATTTCTCATTTCTTGTTGCATGCATTTACTGGTTTTCTTGTTGCCCGTTTGCTTCTCTATTACTGTTCGCTTATTCGCTTGTGTTTTACAATAATTATTTTTCTGCTAAATCTACGGTATTGTACTTCTATATGCCTTGGCTGTATAAATGTTTTTTTTTTTTTTTTCCATTTTATATTTTCTGTAATCCTCCATCAATACGTACTTATATACATACATACGATATTATAATTGTAAAACAACCCAGAAGCGAAAACTCTTCCTCTTATTTCCATATTTATTACTACAAGCTTGGCGATATAGAAAAAAAACGGAAAAAACAATTCGTTGCTTTTAAAAGTGTAATAAAAAACGAAGTAGACATTAACTTAGATCGATGGTTGTAAATTGTCTTTATAAAGGTCATCGTACCTAAAATTCGCATTAGCTTACATATATAAAATTGTCAGCTTCACTTGACGTCCTACTATCTTAGTCTGTCTTGCTAGTTCCCATAGTTCCCCCATACATTTTCCTATAAATAGTATAACGGTTATATGTTATTTGAAACAGAAATAAAACTTTTAATGCGTAAAGATTATCGCTGCCTACATTGAATGCAATGAAAGAGTTGTTGCAATAGGGGCTTTAGTCCAGTAGTCGATAGAACTTGTAGAACGATTGCTCTTAACTTTTTAAAATGAATGCTCAGTAAATTAAATAAAAGGATACTATTTTTTAGAGTGTAAAAATAAAGAAGATAAGAGATACTCCGGGAGTTTGATGTTATATCCATCATTGAGGTTATATATTAGGTTTGTTTTGTTCGAACTTTTTAGTTGATTTCTGAACTTGACCTCTCAAAAGTTGAGAGCAAGTTTACCGCTTTAAACGACATTTTTTTCTTATCGGACGGGCTGATGTTGTGCCCCCGGTTATTTAACACGACACTCTTCGGCCTATAAGTTTGTGTAGGAGACCTCGATATTCGATAATAATCGGTTTTTTGGTGACAAGAGTCATGAGTCGATAAATCACTGTATATCTAGACCTTAAGAAACTTAAGCAAAGGATGACGAAAAACTGGGGTCTCGGAAACTGGGATATTCTTTTAAACAAAGCTTGAAAATTTTCTACTCCGAGAGTAGGCAGACAGGAAACTAGAAGGCGTGGCTAAGTCGTTCAGTCGCCCAATCAAAGCATATATGTATATATAATTTATTTGATCTCTGATACGTATTACAATGGATCGTAAAAATGTAGCAAATTTAATGAGCCTTTGATTATAGATAGAATAACAAACCGACAACAATTTTTGGTAGAAAATAAGTTTTCGTTTTTTTGTTCACCTTTGCCCACTGATGTAAAGGCATGCACGAAATACGTGCTTTTTTACGAAGTACAGAAGTCGTTTTGCGAGGCGGCAACAAATATCAGTAGATTAGAATAAAATTCGAAAGTAAACGTCATCGTCCATAAAAAAATTGCGAATCGATTTAGCTATGTTGACACTGATTCTTCATCGGCTTTTGATACTCTTACCGTTGCTAAAGCTAATAAAATTTTATTTTTCTTTTTGATATGAACAATCACTTAGACGATGTTCCTTATTCACGTAAAGCGGTGACTGTCACAAACAAGGAAAAGGAAAAAGAGGAGAGGCCGCCGCTTAGTGGATGTGTGTCCAATCGATAAGCGTTATGTTTTCACCAACTAAGCACTCACATTAGTTCGAACGATTAAAGTATATAAGTTATTCATTCATAGCTTAGTCTATACGTCAAGTTTTGAAAATGGCAACGATCCAACTATGAAGACACCAGTACAAAAGTTGTAGTATTAAAAGGTTTTGATTAGATGAGTGAGTTTATTATGAGTGATTTTCAACAAAAAACACAATATTCGAACCAGATCTCGGGAAATCAATGTAAACACCTTATATCTGTTACGGATGGCAGTCTTTAGGTGGAGAGACGGGAATATTTACATGCCGTGATTTAGAATTTCATAGTGGGCCAAAATTTATAATCACTTTATATGAGATCTGCTTATGAATGATTACTGTGGGTTGCAAAAGGGATGATCAAATTAATACGCATCTATCTCATCTGTGGTGAATATAGCATAAACAAAACGAACAAATTCGTCAATTTTTACCTACCACCAAACGTATAATTACTATATATTCTCATAGATATATAAGCAGATATATGTATCTGCATGCTTGTACGTATAGGTTCGTGTTTGTGTAAATATTGAAATATCGAAAAAATTCATTCTTGTCTCTTTTTTTTTTTAATACTGAGAAAACATGAACACGAAAACAAGAGAAAATAAAGCGCAAATAATGTATTAAAAGATATAGAGCGACCCTCATGGAAATGTATATAAATACATAAAAGCAGCAGTTAAAATAATTCAATCGTGCCACGAACAAACGAAAGAAATGAAACTCGAAACGCGCATAGATACGAGAATGTATTGTATATACTCGTATACATATAAAAATACGGATTGATAAAATGGTTGCATAGCTTGTTGGCTTGGAAATATGAGAGATATAGAGATAAATGAGAAATATAATACATTCAAGTATTAAAAGCAGCAGTAGTTGCTTAGTCACGCTATACTCACAAATTGTATTCTTTGCTATTTTTTTTTTTTTATACGATTCGATTCCACTGCTTGCGTACATAAAACATTTTTTTTTTATGCCTTTTTGCAGTTTGGGTTTTTTTGCAATTCATTAATCGAGTTTTTGCATAAGACTTCGCAGAAAAAAAACTTTTGCCAACTGGTACAAAATTGTCAACTTTTCTCATTCGTGTTGTAGAGTGAATATGAATTGGATGGCGTATATGCATGAGTGTAGTATGTAGTATCATGTGTACTTAATATGCAACGTTTCAATGCCTATATAGATACGAGAAATAAGGAAAAAGCAAATAGAAACTAAGGGTAAAGAATAATGAATGCAAATATATATATATATATATATATATACATTATATATATATATATTGCTTGTAGGGCTGAATTTTCGTGTGCCACCAGGCATCGAATCGCTGAACCAAAGGTTGCAGAAATTTGATGGCTAAAGTAGTTTTACAGGCAAGCAGAAATCAAGTTTGTGTTATTGTATCGCATATTCTGAGTTTGGTATATCGTTTATTATTTTGTGGTTGAAGCTCTCAATACATATGCCCCAAAGCAAAGGCTGTCGTCTCGTTATCGATTTTAAAACAGCTTTGTATTCGAAATAAGCACGCACACATATATCCGTCTACTTATTTGAACTTAGCAAGCATAAAAAACTCCCTTCTTAATGTAACCCCAATAAAACATTTTCATTTATATATATATATATATATATATATATATAATTGTGTATACTCAAATATATTAATGGGAAACGAATTCTTAAGAGTACTACACTTTTTCTCTAATAAGATTTAGAAAGAGAATATTATTATGTTTAAGTTTGCACAGAGTTGTTGGAACATTTCTAAAAAAATCAATTAATAACAAAATGAAATGTTAGTTCATATATCGTATACAAATTTACGTTATAATGAGGAAAAATACACTACATGCCATCTCTGTGTTTTAAATAAACAAAGCTTCGCAATCAATTTTTTTGAAAAATATGAAAATAAAATTGAATGAATGATCATTGTCATTTTTCAGTTAGCTTCCAATCTTAAAAGTTTATTTAGGTTGCTCACGTTGGATTTCAAATTTGATAACTGAAATACTCTTTTCAAGTTAGAAAACCATAATAAAGCTTCTTTCTTTCGAAACTTATGGTGGAAACTCATTGTGGCATTGTAGGCATGGTTGTCCTTCAATCTCTCCGTTTCGGTGTTTTTTTGCAGAAAACATTTTTCTGCTCGGAAAAATCGATGCATCGGCTTCAAATTTAGTAAAAACATAAGAAGTTTTTGGCCCCATGGTGATATCTAAAACGGCCAAAATCGTTCAAAAGATGCGTCGATACTAACTATAAACTCTTCTGCTTTTAAAAGCAAAAAAAATGGGCTATGTGCTCATTACTCGTACTTCACAACATATCTAGCAGTAGAAATTTTGACGGGTAGCCTATGGGTAATCTTAAAATGCCTGCACAAAGACAGAGAAAATTCGCCACACACATCCAATGCTAGGAAGTGTCGTTATTTAAAATTTTTTTTTAAAACAAAGCTGACTGGGTGTAAAAGTTTCGGGACCAGACGAATATTTTTTCTTTTTTTTAAATTAAATTTGTTGGGTATGAAGGATTCCGTAACAGGCGAATACTGTCGTCTTACTTGTGCCTTTTTACACTTTTCAAAAAACCGGCATTTTTAACGCCTGCTTAGATCATGATTTTTTTTTTTTTTTTTTTTTTTTTTTTATCCGCCTGAGTGGCCGAGTAGGCAAGAGTCTCGACTAGCAAACTCAATAGTCGTGGGTTCAAACCTCAAGTGCAGTAGAGTTTTTAATAAAAAGCCGATAGCCCTAGATGCTAGTGCTTTAAGACTTTAGTCTTAGAATTTATTCTCTGGTTAAATTTATAATAATAATAATTTTAATATTTTTTGCAAATTTTAAATTAATATAATATTAATACAATATAATATATAAATTAAAATCTAAAATAATATAGTGTACAAATCACGTAACGTGAAAAAAGATTTAAAATGATAGGCGAAAACAGGCTTATGTGTTTTAGCGCACACAAAATAGTTGAAGCTGTTGCCCTCTCTGTATATATGAGAAAAAAAAAAAAAAAACACTATTTTTGTGTATATGTGTTGCGTAGTTGTTGCGGTAAATCCCGTACCGTGCATGATTGTTGTTGCAATTTCTGATTTTTGTTTACATCGGTCATGCACGTGCTATTATTTACAGTCAGAACGCAACTGCTATAAAAAATGCGCTTTTGTCCGATTTTTCTTTTTTTTATGAAAACAAGAAAACATTTTTAGAGAATATTAAAAGAAATGCATGCCACAGTTATTCATTTTGCTCCGCGGCAAGCAGCGTAATTGGTGCAAATATTAACCTAAATGAACGAATGTGAATGAATGAACGCTCAACTCTTTTTTACTGCGTCTTTTTTTACCCGGTTTTGAAATAACACGGTT